TAGGTGAAGCCTATTCAGTCCACCTGCGACCACCACCAGCATGGCTGTTTTCAGCACGAACCGAGGCTCTTCCAGGCCTCATGCTCCCATCAGGCTAGGTTACAGAGTTGCACCACCTTGCTCCAGCGCTGGCCAGCAGGTCTGTTATGACTCGTTTTCGGGTTTTTTTCCAGACGACTGCGATTTCATCAGAACGGACATTTTATATTTTCTGAGCGAAAATGAAAATCCAATTCTTGGCCAAAAAATCATGAAATAGGGGTTATGGTGTTCCGAAGGGGTTGGGGGTGTGAGACCTGGAAGAGCTCGGCAGGGAGTAAGACAGTGTTGGAGACTTTTAGAAGGATTTGCTAGGGATTCCGAGGGTTTTGGGCATTTATAGGACCTTTGTGATGGTGATTTTTGCTTCTAAAACTTCTCTTCAGTGAATAGGCTAGTAATTGCTCATGATCTTATTCTTCAGACAGAGCCGGGTTGAAGTCCCGGTCTCCCAATTTATTTACTTTTCTGTATATGCTCTCAAAAAAAAAAAAAGAGAATGCTTTAGGATTCTGGCGACTTCTAGCAACTCGCTTTAGGCTGTTTGATACTGGTACATTCATGGATCTGCGGTTGTTCGATGCCAGAACGACGCTGGCCGGTGCTGGGGTGTTGCCCTGTAAAGTGCTGACTGCAGGAGCATGAGGCCTGGTAGAGAGATCTGGGGATGCTTTGGGGTGGGCATTCCAAGGGACAACCAAGGGTTGCTGTTGGGACGACGCTAGCCGGAGATGGGGCGAGTCGTGTTGCTCTGTTACCTAGCCGAGTGGGAGTGTGAGGCCTGGGAGAGCCCGACAGGGAATAAGACAGTGTTGGATAATTTTAGAGAGTTTTGTTTGGGAGTCTAGGGGTTCTGAGCATTTGAAAAGAGGTCAGTAGTCCTTCATAGTTTTTCAACCTCTTTTTAATTCTCTTGAATTTCTTCAATAGTTCTCAATAGTTCTCAGATTGATTCTCAGCCGAAGCCGGGTAATGCCCCCGGTATCTCAAATGACTTGTGTAACTCTATATGGGACGCTGGGCCCAGTTCTCAGCACGTTTTGCTCCCCACGGATAGACTGGAGCATTTGTCCCAAAAACAAAAAAAGGTGTTCTGAAAACGCCCTACCCCCTCAACGTATCTGGACATAGCGAAGTCCACACACATCTGGCGTTTTCCGGCTTGCAAGCTGGATGTATTTTGACTTCTGCTAAGTCCAGATACGTCGAGGGGGTAGGGCGTTTTGGGAACTCCGTACCCGCTATTTCATGAGTTTTCAGCCAGAAAATGGTTTCAATTTCATTCAAAAAATATAAAATGTCCGTTTTGACAAAATGGCAGTTAGACTTCATGTTTCTTAAATACCCGTGTAGGGTCTCAACCCTGAAGGCATTGCAATAGAGCAATGGATGTTGTGAACGTCAGCTGAGATGATACTGGCGAGAATTCGAACAGCATTGTTTCACTTGGGTGTGTCCCAACCGGCTACTTTGTAGGACCTGAGCTTTTTTTTTTTTTTTTTTTTTTTTTTTTTTTCAAGGACCTGAGCATATTACCTTTTTCCCCACCTCATACTGTGAGCCACGCCTGCTGACAACTCAGGGCCACTTTCCCAGATCTCTCTACCAGGCCTCATGCTCTCGCATAGCTACAGGTTACAGCATGACACTACTCACCCCTGCGCTGACCAGAGTCGTTCTGGCCTTGGCCGCCTACCTCAGGCCACTGACAGTGACGGCAGCGGGTTTTGAACCCAGCACCTACTCGGTGCCGCTCAGGCATGAAATCTGCTGAGCTACCCGATGGGACAATCTTCTGTGTTTTCGAAGTTGCTGTAGTGTTATACCGATAAAATGCTAGATTCCACACCAGGAGTCGAGCTTGTGGTTGAACTGTCCACTGGGAGAATGCTTTCCTGTACCACTTCCAACAATTCGAAGGTAATGGATTTACTACGGATTGTTCCCACCCATCCGTTTGCCAAACCGTTGTCCTCAAATCTTTCCCTATGTTCCTCTGCTTTTTTCCTCTTCCTCACCATCTTGTGCCTCAACCTTATCAATAGAACCCAGTATTCCATCGCTACTTGCTGAATACTTCTTCGTCTTCTTCATCAGCATTTTTCTTTTTTTTCCCTTCATCAGCTTCTTCTTCTTCTTCAGCTTCTTTTTCTTCTTCCACTTTGTCTTCTTCTTCGTCTTCGTCTTTGTCTTTGTCTTCATCTTCATCTTCTTCTTTGGCTTCGGCTTCGGCTTTGGCTTCGGCTTCATCTTCTTTGCCTTTGTATTCTTCCTTGACTTCTTCTTCTACTTCAGATACCTTTTCTTCCTCTTCTGATTCTACTTCTCCTTTGGCGTCATCTGCTTCTTGAGCTTCATTTTTCTTCTTCGGCTTCTTCTTCTTCTCCTACTTCTTGTTGTTGTTGTTGTTGTTGTTCTTCTTCTTCTTCTTCTTCTTCTTCTTCTTCTGAATATTCTTCTTCTTTCTTCTTCTTCTTCTTCTTCTTCTTCTTCTTCTTCTTCTCCTCCTTCTTCTCCTTCTTCTCCTTCTTCTTCTTCTTCTTCTTCATCATCATCATGGGAGTACAGTAGTCTAAGAGTGTTTGCGATCTTCATGCAGTCTGCCGGGTAATCACCAGTGAACCACTGCAGCAGCACTTCATTGCTATTCTGTGCTTTTCCTTTTCCAGCTTCTCATCATCCTTCTGTTACAGTTTTCCAACTTTTCCAATTTGAAGTTTCTCTCCTTGCCTATTTACCCTGGCTTTCAGTAACTTGCTTTCTCTTCCTTCTTCTTCCTTTTGACTGCTTCCTCATCATGCTACACTGGCTTCTACTCTGCATCCATGTTTCTGATCTATCTTTGTGGGCTTGCCAATTGGTCATATATATATATATATATATCGTCAAATATATATATATATATATAGTCACAAACAGATATATATATCGTCACAAACAGAACTGCCCGGTAAACCGTAGGCAGAGAGAGAGAAGAGGACAACAAACGAGGGGTTTGTGACTATATATCGTCAAATAGAGTTGCCAGGCCGAACGTGCGGAGGCCCCTAAGCTGACCCCCGAACGTTCGGGCGTTCGGGTCCCCGTACGGGGCCCGAACTCGAAGGGGTTCGGACCCCGCAAGAAATTATTTTGGTACCTAAAAATTATTATTTTTTTCTGATTTGTTTTTTGTGAGTTCTCTGTTATGTAAGCTACCTGTCTCTCAATTTTGAAGTCATTCTGTGCAGCCAAACAATAATGAAAAATCGGCAAARATGGTGGTGTCAAAACTTGCTTTCCCACTTACTAATTTTTTTTTTTCTCTTTTCACTTTTTGTTTTCCCTTTATTTCGGGGCCTGAAAAAAAATATTATTTTTTCAAACTTTATTTCTAGGTTCTCTATGATGTAAGATACATATGTATAAAATTTCATGGCATTTGACAAAGCCAAAAAAAGATGAACAATCGCCAAAGATGGCGGTGTCAAAAACTTGCTCGCCCACGCAAATAATTTCGTTCTCGTTTTATTTTTTCTTATTTTCATTAATATTATTTATTTTTCGTATTTGATTTTTATTTCAAATTTGGTAAGACATTTGGATGTACTGTTGAGGCAAATGTTGTTTAGTTTATTCTTCTGCATGACATAGTTTTTTTTCAGAATTTTTGGAAACTTTTTTTTTTTTTT